ATTAGAACATCTTTAAGTAGTAAATTATCAGAGTAATATTTAATTAAATATTTAAAGTTATTCTAATTTAATTGCTGGTTTAGTAACTAAAGCATGCATAAGATGTTTACCAAGAGAAAAAACTAATTTTGATTCTGAATATGTCAGAGTTACCAAAATCTTAGGTGGATCAGTATTAGATAGTCATGTCTTATCAGGACTTATTGTTACTAGAAATGTTGAAGGATAAATTAATAGATTAGAAAATCCTAAGATTTGTGTTTTTAATGCTCCATTAGATCCATAATCTTAAGAAACTAAAGGAACTGTGTTGATTAAAAATGCAACAGAATTAATGAATTATACTAAAAGTGAAGAAGAACTTGCTGAAAAGATTGTTAAAAGTATAGCTGATGCAGGTGTCAATCTTATTGTTGCAGGAGGTAGCATTTCAGAATTAGTGTTACATTTTGTTGAAAAATATAAAATGATGATTGTTAAAGTCTAATCTAAATTTGAATTAAAGAGAATATGTAAAGCTATAGGAGCTAGTGCATTATCTAGATTATCTGCTCCTATGCCAGATGAATTAGGAACATGTGATAGAGTACATGTATAAGAAATTGGTAGTCAAAAAGTGACTATTTTTGAAAAATAAAGTGATACTTGTAAATTAGCAACTATTGTATTAAGAGGAGCAACATAAAATTTATTAGATGATATTGAAAGAGCTATTGATGATGGTGTTAGTTGTTATAGATCACTTATTAAAGATCCAAGATTTGTTTATGGTGGTGGTGCAACAGAAATTGTATAATTATATATTAATATTAATTTAGAAATTAGCATAATTATTAGAATAAGAAGCAAATAAAATTAAATCAATTGATTAATATGCTTATAGATAATATGCTTAAGCATTTGAAATTATCCCAAGAATTTTAATTGAAAATGCTGGTCTTGCTTAAAATGAAATGATGGCTTAAATGCATAAATTAAACTCTGAGAAACCTCATTCACTTAATATTTCAGTA